TAGTCAAAGAAGGAAATGACAGATAGTTTTGGGAAATTAAAGATTTAAGCATTGGTGGGCTTTCGAAAGCAGGAGTATCAAGGGACTACCTGAAGGACTCAGTCATACAAGTGGAGTGACTATAGTGAAGCTGTAGCTGACTTGCTCTTTGCAGGGTGTGGTCTGAGTGAAAACTGTTGATTGTCTTTCAGAAATGTGGAACTGTCATAGATTGATTGGTTGACCTTCATAAGCATGTGTACTGATGAAACATTGTCTCTGATTAATTGCTATCAATGTCTGATCATTTGTCTCTGATCCATCAATTCTGGTGCTTACTAATTCATGGCTTGAGGTTATATCCAAACCTAGGCCTTCTTGAATTTGGAGACTAGGAACATCTTATTACTATCATACAATTTTATTTATTTATTTTTAACTCATCTTTATTATTGAATGTATTACAGATGTTCCCCCCTTTTTCTCCCCATTTACCACCTCCTCCAATGGCACAGTCTCCCTAATCACCCCAGCTGGGCCCTTGAGGTGCACCCCTAGTGTGTATTATACACCCTTCTGTTGTAATTGAGTCTTGATTGCTGTTGGCACATCAATGGGAGGGATTTACTCAGGCTGATAAGAATCAAGTACTGACTGTGCCCATTAACCACTGGCTCTTGACTACTTTGGAGGATCAGCTATGTAGGGTCCCACCACACCGAGCAAGACTTACTTCAGCAGGACTCTGGTACCCACTGAGTTCGCTCATTGAATGTGTCACTTGTGGATGTCGTTGGGTGGTAGTGCTTCGATGTAGTCTGAAGCTGGCCACTGGGTGAGCTGGCTTTGGGGCAAGGTCAGCCACTGCCTGTGTTCTATCCAGGGCCACCCGGCATAGGCTACAAAGTGATCTGCAGATGGCTGCTTCTTGTGCTGGGCTTGGAGGTACCCAGGAAAAGCCAAGTTGTGAGCCAAGGCTGGTGGCTTCTAGTGCCAGGCCTTGGCCACTTAATGTGAGGTATGGGGCTTGCTGAGATCAGATGCTGCTTGTTTGAGAGATTTTAGGAAACTGATGCAGGATACAAGACAGGTGAATCTTATGGTAAAGCCTTTGGAAACAGCTTGGGTGGGCCCAAAAGTTGGGTGGGGTGGGGCCTCAGGGAATCACCAGGGTGGGGCAAACAGTCTGAACCAGGTGGCTGGAGTCCCAGATTTGTCAGCTGTCTGCTGCCCCAGGGAAGGGTTCACTAAAGGAACATCAGCCTCCACCAGCATGTCTGTTGACGAGAAAGCCGCCTCTCCAGCTCTCGCTCCAATGCCAAAAAGCTCAGTTCTTCCCTGTATGTCTCTGGCGCCCCTTAATCTGCCTCCTCTCTGAGTTTAGAGAGAGAAAGTCAGTGTAAGTCCATGTGTGAGCCTTTTAACAGGAGTTGCCTGGGGCTCCAGAAGCCTCAGCCTCCCTCAGCCTCCGTTCCCGCTGGTTTTTCCAACCAGAAGTTATGGGGATTCTCTTCCTGGCACTGGAACCCTGAGCTGGGCACCTGGTGTGGGACAGGGACCCCTCAGTCCTCAGGGAGGACCTTCGTAGTCGAGGTGTTCCTCCTGATATTTATCTGCCACGTATGGGTGTGGGACCAGACTGTCTGTACCTCTGCCCCTCCTACCAGTCTCGATGTGGCTGCTTCTTTAATTTCGTAGTCGTAGGACTTCCATTCAGCTTGATGTCAGGCAGTTCTGAATGATGGTTGTGTTGTAATTTAGTTGTAATTTTGATCTGGTTGTGGGAGGAGGTGTTTACCTATGCTGCCATCATGACTGGAAGTTTCCATATAATTTATTTTTAAAGTATTTTTTAAACTTTATTTTTATTGTTGACACTATTACAGATGTTAGCTTTTTGTCCCCCCTCACTTCAGACAGCTGTAGTCTGGTCCATGTATTGATGCCTCTGTTTCTATTTTGTTCATGTTTATTTGGTTCATCAGATGCCACATATAACAGATAATATGGTGTATATATATATATATATATATATATATATATATAATTTTTTTTTTTTTTCTGACTGGCTTATTTCAATGAGCATAATCTCCAGATCCATCTATGCTGTCGCAAAAGATAAGATTTCCTTTTTATTTGACCATGTGCGATTATAGTTTTTTTGTTCTTATTGTTAATCCTCACCTCCTCATCTGAGGATATTTTTTCCATTGATTTTTAGAGAAGGTGGAAAGGATGGAGGGAGGGAAAAGAGAAAGAGAGTGACACATCAGTTTGTTGCCTCCTGCACTCACCCCTGACTGGGGCTGAGGATCAAAAGTGCAACCCAGGTACGTGCCCTTAACTGGGAATCAAACTCGAGACCCTTTGGTGCACAGGCCAATGCTACAACCACTGAACCACACCAGCTGGGGCTGTATCACAGCTTCTTTATCTCTTGTCTAGGGAAGGGAACTTGGGCTGTTTTCAGATCTTGGCTACTGTAAATAATGCTGCTATGAACATAGGGGTACATATATTCTTTCTGCTTGGTGTTTCAGGATTCTTAGGATATATTCCCAGAAGTGGGATCACTGGGTCAAAAGGCAGTTCCATTTTTAATATTTTAAGGAAACTCTTTACTGTTTTCCACAGTGACTGCACCAGTCTGCATTCCCACCAATAGTACCGTAGGGTTCCCTTTCATTATTACAGGCTTTATTCTTAATAATGTATTTTCTAGTTATTGGACTGTCCTTGGACAGTACTAATTTTTATTTAGTTTTTTATTGAGAAGCCTGAGGAAATTAGAAATGTATTTGCTTTCACAGCAAGTTGAAATAAAGAGCAAATCTAAAGGCATTAAGGTTCCTATTAAACAGTGGTTCTCAACCTTCCTAATGTCACGACCATTTATTTATTTATTTATTTATTTATTTATTTATTTATTTATTTATTCAGATAGAGTGGGAGGGGGAGAGAGGGAGAGATAGAAACATCAACATAAAAGGTATATATCGAGTGGCTGCCACCCGTACTACCCAACCAGGGCCAGGGACAAACTGCAACCGAGGCACATGCCCTTAGCGGGAACCGAACCCAGGTCTCTCTGGTCCGCAGGCCGACGCTCTAACCGCTGAGCCAAACCGGCCAGGGCCCACAACCCTTTAATACAGTTCCTCATGTTGTGGTGACCCCCAACCATAAAATTATTTTTGTTGCTACTTCATAACTATAATTTTGCTACTGTTATGTCTTAGGCAACCCCTATGAAAGGGTTGTTCGACCCCCAAAGGGGTTGCGATCCACAGGTTGAGAACCGCTGCTCTTAAACCTCTATCAAGATGGAATCCTTATGTTAGAGCTTATGTCAGTATTTTACCATGGAATATTCAGAAGTCATAGAAATGTATACTTTATTCTTAAGATACAAGCAATCCCTAAATATCATCATGCGAGGTGATCATTAGTGTTAAACATTAAACAAATGAGAATGAGGCCTGCTTAAAAAGTTGGACATCATTGAAAGTGATCTTCCTTAAAAAGGGGAAGGTGGCAGTATTTAGATTTGACAATTATATGAAGTATGGGGACTAAATTATTTTATTAGTAACATAATACCAGAAATGTAGATTACTAGTAATGTAACTGGTGGAGTTGGGTATTGTGAGATTTTTGTGTTATTGGGTTACATTAGTTAAGTATGACATAAAGATGGCATTTTATCATGGGATAGTTGAAATAATTATAAAGTGATATAGGGAAAACTGGCCATTGACTTGGAAAATTAATACTATGGATAGGGATCCATTAACAATTCAGTTTAATTTAGACAATTTTTATTTTGTAAATTTACTGCCACATTTCATCAGGAAATTTCTTAATGTTATGAAAAATCAAAATACATTTATTTGACAAAATTCTAATGCTTAGGCTTTTCACATGTAAATATACTACACAAAATAAATATACAACACAAAACTACACAACAACAAATTGCTAAATGCACCATTTCTAAAACACATACCAAATATAAAAGTGTCTTTATATTGGTTGTAATGTTTTTAGCTCTAAGTACCAGAGAAGCTGAACTCTGTAATGTGGCAGATAGTAACTATCTTAATGGGCCATGAGGTCTCTACTAGTACTACTAAACTCTGCTCTTGCATGAAAGAAGCCACAGGAAACACAGACGTGAATGTTTTTTTGTCTGTAGTAGTGTTCTAATAAGACTTTATTAATGGGATACCAAAATTTGAGTATCTCATAATTTTCACATTACAAAACATTCTTTAACTTTTTCTGCTACTTAGAAATGAAAAGTCATTCTTAGCTTGTGAGCTACAATAATGGGCAGTGGGCCAGCTCTGACTCATTGGTGGGAAAATGTACAATCAAACCACGTGACACTATAGCAGTAAAGTGGGGGATAAATGTTAGCAGCCAATAATTTTTTTTTGCAGCTTAATTCAAAGAATACAAATTATAATGATGATAATATTTAACACACAGCTTTTTCTATCTCAGAAACTACTCAAAGTGTGTTAAAAATAAGTCATTTATACCCCCAAAGCAATCCTAGCATATTATCACTTCTCCTAAGAAAAAAAAAAGCTGAGGCATTGACAGGTTGAGGTGTATACGTGGTGCTAGAATTGGAGCCTACGCCATGTTGCTTCTACCAGAAAGGAAAACGCAGTACAGAACATTTAGGGCACCCTACAAAATACAAAACGGACAGCTCAGCATGCTGCTAAAACAGAAATAGTAAGAGAGATAATATTTCTTTGCATTATTTGTTTTTACTGTGTAGAGTATTTTTAGCTGTTTTAAAAAATAAGCTCAGGCTTTTCCTACAAATAAATGTATAATGTAGCTGACTGTTGAAAATTTTACAAAAAACATTTTAAACTTCTTTATGAAGGATTAGTTCAATAACAACATACATATCCATTTAAAAATGACAGAAAAACAGGAGAAAAAGATGCATTATAATTTAAAAAATATTATACTTAAATACACATATTAATAGGAGTAATTACTGAAACTTAATGTGGACTATCTTCATGTACATAAAAGCTACTGAACCAATGTTACATATTTCCCTATGTACAATTATGGACTCCATGTACACATCAAACACCCACAGTCTGTGGTTTTTACCACACTCACATACACACACATGTCCTACATAATAAGCAGGACTCTCCATGTGTTTAATGATGTTGTCCAATTATTCAATTTATTTGTATTTTTCAAAAGCTTCATGTATCTAGACATTTGAAGCTTTCTTTAAAAAAATACCTTACAAGCAGAACTCTGTAATATGACTTGTCGTATAACGATTTCCCTCAGTACAGATTTTCTTTTAAAAGCTTTCATATATTTAAAGGTTCTATCCTAGTATCAATAATCTGACATTTGCTGAAACATCACTTCTGATAAAGGCTTCTGTATCTGTTCCAATCTTTGCAGTTATCCCCTCTGAGTGTTCTCATGAGTCTAACTGCTATAAAAAGGCTTCTGAATGATCAAGATACTGAGAGGAGTTTCTCATTCATGTGAGCTTTTGGAGGTCTGGGGAAGGCTGCACTGACAGGAAACATCCTGAAATCCATTTCTCTTACAGGACCTCTTACCTGTGTGATTTCTGTACTGTACAGTAAAGTATGACTCTCAAAAGTTTCTTCATGGTTCACAATTTACAGTGTTTCTGCCTTCTATGTTGTCTGATTTTAAGTCTGACATATGGTAAAAATTTCACCCTTACAGAATTTCTCTGTGTATTTCCTCTCTGTGAAGAAAGACCGTGGCCTAAATTTTCCCATATTGATGAAGGTTTTTGTCTTGTGTAAATTATCTAATTATTCTGAAAGGTGAATTCAGACAGAATTTTCCAATTTATACTATTTATAAGCTCTTTCCTGCTCTGTGTGTCTTCTGATGTGCAGTGAGTTCTGATTTCTGGATAAAAGTTTTCTTACATTGTTGACATTCATAGGGTTTCTCCCCTGTGTGTTTTCTCTGATGTATGATAAAATGTGACTTCTGAGAGAAGAATTTCCCACATTCCTTACATTCATAAGGTTTCTCTCCAGTGTGAGTCCTTTGATGTAACCTCAGGACTGAATTCACAGAGAAAGATTTACCACATTCATGACATTCATAAGGCTTCTCCCCTGTGTGTTTTCGTTGATGTTTAGTAAGGTCTGATTTATAGTAAAAGTGTTTTCCACATTTATTACATTCAAAAGGTTTCTCTCCTGTGTGAGTTCGCTGATGTACTGTGAGGGCTGACTTCTGGTAGAAGCATTTCCCACATTCACTACATTCATAGGGCTTCTCTCCAGTATGAGTTCTCTGATGCGTTTTGAGGTGTGAGTTTCTAGAGAAGAATTTCCCACATTCCTTACATTTATAGGGTTTTTCCCCTGTATGTGTTCTTTGATGTACTGTAAGGTGTGATTTCTGGGAAAAAGATTTCCCACATTCCTGACATTCATACGGTTTCTCCCCTGTGTGTGTTTTCTGATGTACCATTAGGTATGCCTTAACATAGAAGAACTTCCCACATTCAGTACATTCAAAGGGTTTCTCTCCTGTGTGTGTTTTCTGATGTTCCATGAGGTGTGGCTTCTGGTAGAAGGTCTTCTCACACTGATCACATTCATAAGGTTTCTCCCCTGCATGAGTTCGCAAATGTCTACTGAGAGATGACAGGTGGTAGAAAGTTTTCTTACATTCTTTACATTCATAGGCTTTCTCTCTGGTGTGAGTCTTCTGATGTCCTGTGAGGTCTCTATTCCTAGAGACAGATTTCCCACCTTCACTGGGTTTGTCCTTTGTATGGGTGTGCTGATGTACTGTAAGTGCAGACTTCTGGCAGAAGGACTTCCCACATTCACTGCATGTACAGATTTCTGCTCTGGTATGAGTTCTCTGATTTGTGAGTTCTCCAGTCCTAGAGAAAAATTTCCAAACTCATTAATGTAGAAGGCTTTTTCATTTATCTGCTGTGTATATTTTCCAAATAACTCTTAAGTGTGGTAGGCAGTTAGACAGACATGAGCAGAGCAAGAACAATGTCCAGGTAGAGAAGGTCACCAGGGTGGAAAGCTCTGGGTAACTAGCAATGGGGAAAACAAGGCTCTTGCCTCCGGTGTAACCTTCCCTCCCCTAGCATATCACTGGTCATGTGGTTTAACCCCCCTGACCTTTCATTTTGTTGATTATGTGGCTCGGACCCTCCTCCAACCTTTTCTCCCCTGGTATGTCACTAGGTATGTGGTAGACCCCCTTAGAGGAGGAACAAGGGGCTGAAGAGTGGCCTCATGAACTCCCATGTGGGCCCTTACATGACCATTCCCTTAAGCATTAACCCCTAGGGATAGCATTTAGGCCTCAGTTGTGTTTCAGCTCCAGGCCCAGAAAATCAGCACAACCAGAAAAATGATGCCATACCCGACATGCAATGACTAATGACTAATGAGCCCCTGCCCTGGTGCTGACCAATCAGTACAGACCATGACCCTCAAAGGACACAACTGGAAAGCTGATGAATATTCTACTGAGAGTCTCCCCTGAGACCTCCAGATAAAACGCCTCAAGACAGAGGAACCAGGGTAGATCCCTGTCCTGGGAGCAAGTATGAGCCTTTCCTCTCCCCCTCTGCTTCCCACCAGGCACATTACCTTTACCTTTCTCTCTCCTAAGCTCCAAGGGCCCTTCTTTTGCCTCTGTAACTGGTTTCCTGAGCCCATTTCTTCTAAGGCTCACTTCCACCTTTGTGACTTTCTAAATAAATGTCTTTTATAGTTTGAGTCTTGACTCTGAATTCTTTCTTAGCCAGAACTCAAGTACTGAGGTTGCTGAACCAAAGTCCAGTATGACTTCACCAGTTTAACACGTGGTGCTTGTTCTTGCCGCCAACTAAGAACCCATTTCTACAGATTTTCCCATATTCATTGGATTCATAGGGTTTCGCCACTGTGAATATTCCCTGATATATATTATGGTTTTCTATTTGGTAGAAGGAACCTTCACTTGCTTTATATTCATAGGATCTCTCAACTCCTGAGCTCTGTTTTGTATAATAAAGCCTCCATAATTGTGTAGCTCTGAAGAATCCCATGATCCTGAATAAGGTCTCCATTATGAAAAAGGTCATTACCATTTGCATTATATTCTTTGGAATTTGTTCCAATGTTAGTTTTCTCACATTTAGTATTAATTAGTACTCTCCCACTTCCCATACCCTCATCAAGACCCTTTCTTACAAAGCTTCTAATTTTAAAATGTAATTCTTGAACTTGCCTTGAATTTTTAGCTTGGCTTTCCTGGTGTCTTGCTCCTACGTCGTGAATATTCCATAGGTCTACAAAGGAATCCAAAATTTAATACCATATAAATCTTTTTCTTTTTTTATCCTCACCCGAGGACATTTTTCCATATTTTGTTCAGATAGAGTGGGGAGGGAGAGAGAGAAGGAGAAACATCGACGTGAAAGGGATACATTGAGTGGCTGCCACCCACATGACCCAACCAGGGTCGGGGACAAACTGCAACCGAGGTACATGCCCTTAGTGGGAACCGAACCCGGGTCTCTCTGGACCGCAGGCCGATGCTCTAACTGCTGAGCCAAACCGGCCAGGGCCCATATAAATCTTAACACAATGTTATGGTCATAGGTTGGGTTCTTAGGCTTCAGATCAATCTCTGCAAATGAAGGAACTCTCAAATACAAATTTCCACGATTTCATTGGTTTAGAAAAAAATAACACATTAAAAACTGCTATAGCAGAAAGGAGAAGGAATGTGGTTATAATGGTTATAAACTCAAGTACCTCTGACACTTTACAAATATGACCTTAAAAACTTGCAGGAGAAAGTCAAGACAAAAATAAAAAAGAACAGGGAGCAAAGAACAAAAAAATATTTTAAGTGTTGCTAAACAGAAATGTGAGACTCATAGAGAATGCTGTGAGCCCATTAAGGACAATGAATAGTAAGTAAGTTGCTAAAAATTAGTAGACAACCATGTTCACTAGAAATATCAGGGCAAAGATTATACTGGATGAAAGAGCTAAAGTATAGGTCTTTATCTCTCACACCTAGTTTATTGTGTTAGGATTCCTAGTAGTTAGCAAACTATAAACTTCTACTTTATTTCCTCTTTACCGATATACAATCATCTAGATGTCAACACTAAAGTGACTTGTTCAGAACATTAATTTCCTCATGTTTAGAGGAACAGTCCTATAGCTTAGCCTTTCACTCTACATTCAGTTGGCTTAAATTTACTGGGACAGAGGACTCAGAAACATATATGTCCAAAAGAAAAGATGTTTAAAAAGTAGAGTGCAGGCCATCCATATAACAGGATGAATTCCCAGTTATAGGACCAGAGATGTTCAACCCTGACCACCAAATATTGCATCTCCAAAGCAATGTTACCTATGACTTAATAACAATCTTATTCTACCTTCACATCTTGGCTCCCACCTCTCTGCTTGAATTTACTACATAATCTTTAAAAATTAGTTGTTCAACATCATTCTAGAACCTTTACCGACCTTCATTTTTATTCCTGTTTAAATGCTTAAAAGAAAGTAAAAGATTATAAACAGAGGCTTGAGATTGGAAATTCATGGCATTTGCAGGGGAAACATAAAAGTTATTTGATAGAGATTTGTGCAAGGTTAACTTGGATACACATGAAATAAGACTCCATTTATGAAAGACACTTAAGAGAGTAAATGAAGGGATGACTAGCATGTGTATGGGGGCCACAAGGAGAAATATGATGCAGTAGGCAAGAATGAGCTGGACTAGTTCCTGACAGAAAATTATTTTAACTGTGTTTTGTAATAGTGCTCAGTATAAGTTTACTTAATAGGTTAGTAGCAATATAAGTTTGCAGCATTACACAACTACTCTGAGGATTTAAATTAAAAAAAATTAGCTCTTGATTCTGAGAAAGAAAGAATTTAGATCAGTGGATCTATCCTGTAAGATGGTAAAATATGGTACCAGAATACAAATAAAATGAAGATACTGGAGACATTAATTTTAGGAGTCCTCAGCCTAAAAAACAAAGCTTTGGTCTAGAAAGGGTAAGCCTTTGCGGAAGTTACTATAAAGGGCAGAAGATAGAGAGTATCTGTCTCTCGTTAACTGAAACTGAATCTTTCAACAGATATCTAGTGAACAGCTAATATACACCAGGCACTGTTTCTGCACATGAGTGCACAAGTCAGAAAATACATGAAAAGCATTTAAGGAAGCAAAGTGATATTCTCTTTTTGTTTGTTTTATTTTTTATCTTAGTGTTATTTTAGGAAGGATAATCAGTACTTTATGTAAAAGACAAACACCATCTAGAAGACAAACACCATCTATTTATCAACTCTGAAATAATAAAACTGATGAAAGGCATAATGATTTATAATCTAATTTCAGAGTTTAAAGAGAGAATAGGAAGTGAGAACTGGTTCAGAAAATAATGAGGGCATTTTGTTGTTAATAAAAGGAGGGACATGGCACTTGAAAAAATGTATGTCAGATTTCTAAACACTTTAGGATTATAGTTGCATACTTCAATTGTAGAGAGTAACTGGGGGTTCTAGAAAAAGACAAAATAAAAGTTTAAGTCAAGGTTAGTGTATAGGAAGGAGAGGTTAACCTATGAAAGTGTTGAGCAAAGGGGGGAATTTCAGTGGAGAGAATGAAAATTGAAGGTGTGATTTATGTTGCTTACATATGCAGATCAAGTGTCCTCATTCATTTCCAGATGTATAGGACACTTAGCAAAGATTCCTGAAAAATATTTCAAAAGGCAAAAGGCACCAACAACGTCTCTACTAATAACAAAGGATATAGTTTCTTACTCACCAGGGTACTTCCGACGTGGGAATTCTACTTCTAATATCCATGGCTCCTTTCCTTGCTTCAACTTGAAAACTGCATTTGGCTTATTCACAAAATAACCTATTAATGGAAGAAATAAAGAAAATACAAATTTCTTGGAATTTAGAGACTCTGAAGGACAGAAAGTATAGTTTTCAAAGCAGAACAATGAAGATCCCCCTAGGCTTGCCAAATTTAGATTCTTTCAGTTGGGAGGGTAGAGACAAATATTTTTTTCTAGTACCCAAAATGGATTCATCAACTTTGAGCCCTGAAACAAAACTAATATTATTCAAAGCTTCAGATGCCATACATGTCCCACATTGGGGAAAGGAAATGCAAACTACTGGGAAGCACACAGAGGAAGTTTTTCTCACCCACTGAGACCAGGTGACGGTAGTTCTCTCGCATCACTTCTCTGTACAGGGTCCTCTGAGCAGGGTCCAATAACTGCCACTCCTCCTGGGTGAATTCCACAGTAACATCCTTGAATGTCACTGGTCCCTGTAATGACATATTTCAGTTCAAACTGAAGTAATCAGAATAGAGTACCATTGAAAAGACATGTATGAACTAGCTCTTCATGTGCTAAATATACAATTTACTCTGGAAAGTTAAGATACACTGCTACTCTGTACCCTGCTTTAGACAAGATAAACTATTTGTTCCATATATATTTACTGAGATGTCATTAAGTGCTTAGATCTCTGCTGGAGATACAAAGATGAATGAAAACAACTATTCCTGTTATCAAGGAGTTTACATTCTGACAGGGAGGCAAAGTTGTAAATTCTTAAATGTAATACATACAGCAGGTGCTATGACGGAAGTATGTACAAGATGTAAGATGGTCACATATGGGGATAGTTGTTTTCTATTTTGTATTATCACGTTAGGTTTTATTAGGTGGTCCAATTGACTATGTAAACTTCATGAATTCAGAAAACAGAATTGCAAAAGCATGGATGCATCAAAAATGGCAAGGTTAGGAAACTACAAATAAGACAGTATAAAATGGTTACACGGTGTAGGACCAACTTTTCTTTTTTTTTTTAATCCTCACCCGAGGACATTTTTCCATTTTTTGTTCAGGTAGAGTGGGAGGGAGAGAGAGGAACAGAGAGAGAGAGAGAAACATCGATGTGAAAGGGACACATCGAGTGGCTGCCACCCGCACGACCAACCAGGGCCGGGGACAAACTGCAACCGAGGTACGTGCCCCTAGCGGGAACCGAACCCGGGTCTCTCAGGACCACAGGCCGACGCTCTAACCGCTGAACCAAACCGGCCAGGGCTCTTTTTTAATCCTCACCAGAGGACATTTTTGCATTTATCTTCAGATAGAGTGGGAGGGAGAGAGGGAGGAAGAGAGAGAGAGAGAAACATCGATGTGAGAGAGACACATTGACTGGTTGCCACCCACACCACCCTAACCAGGACCAGGGATGAACTTCAACCGAGGTACATGACCTTAGTGGGAACCAGACTTGTGACTCTCTGGTCCACGGGCTGACACTCTAGCCCAGCGGTTCTCAACTTGGGGGTCACAACCCCTTTGGGGGTTGAACGACCCTTTCACAGGGGTCGCCTAAGACATAACAGTAGCAAAATTACAGTTATGAAATAGCAACAAAAATAATTTTATGGTTGGGGGTCACCACAACATGAGGAACTGTCTGGCTGAGCCAAACAGGCCAGGGCCAGAATTTGTTATGCAATAGTCAATTCAGGTTATAAAACATGGAATGATTCTGAATTTGTCTTTTGGGACATTAAAATATATTTTGCAAACCCACTTAATTAGTGTCTTATTAATATATCATATATTTGCATCTATTAGTATATTTATTAGAAGTTGATGTTTTCTTTTTTGTGTTTATATGAAAGAAAAATATGAATCAGTATTCTGCTATTTCACACTATGTGGACTATCTTATACATCTTTGGGATGTTCATCCTTTCACTTTGTAGATGCAAATACAGATAATGGGGAGCCACTGAAGAGACAGATGTAAGCACTAGAGTTATATGAGATTAGTAGTTTAGAAGAACTAAATATAAGAACTAAAATAGAAGAGGCAAATGGCACATCAGAAGGATGGAGTGTTAAAAAATTTAGAGAGATATATAAACAATAAACATTTATATTAAAGTAGCAGCAGTGGGGGAAAGAAGCATAATACAACTTTGTGATTAGTTGGAAATTAATTAATAAACTACTAGGAGTGCCTGGCTGGTGTGGTTCAGTGGTTGCGCATTGACCCAAGCACCAAGAGGTGCCTGATTAGATTCCTCGTCAGGGCACATGCCCCGGTTGTTGGCCTAGTCCCCAGTGGGGGGCATGAGGAGGCAGCCTATCGATGTTCTTTCTCATCGATGTTTCTATCTCTCTCCCCCTCTCCCTTCCTTGCTCTCTAAAAATCAATTAAGAAAAAAAATTACTAGGAGAAAGGGGGAGGATAACTCACATAATGTCTAAAGGTTTGGTAATGGCTAGAGCCATAAGGCTCATTATTTTCATTCTTGTGTTTTTGTTGATTGAATTATTTAAGGCTATAAAACTTTCTCTGATAGTGGATTTATTTATATTCCATAGAATCTGAAATGTAGTATTTTCACTTGAACACATTGGCTGAATATATATATTCTTACTTTATACTTCTTTTTCTGGAAAATACTGTTCTACTACTATTGTTTTATTTATTACTATGTTGCTAACAAGAATTGCATCAATTTTATTTTCTTTCCTTGCTCAGTGACTTTGACTTTTTTCCTTGAGACCCAGAGGACTTTTTTGCCTTTACTTTTTAGTATGACTGGTAGTTTTATTGGAATCTCGGTGTTTGCCATGATGGGTAAATATTCCCTGGCACACAGAGAGCCTTTTCAATATGTAGATACAGTTTTTCTTTTCTTTATGAAATATTGTTTTAAATATTAATTCTTTTCACTATTTAATAGTTTTTGTTTTTAGGAATTCCACTTTATCTTTCTTCTATTTCTATTATTCTCTTCCTCATCCTTGCTCATTCTTGTTCCGCCCACCCCATATTCTCTTTCCATTTCCCTCTTGTATGTTATTTATTGTACTTCCGTCAATATCTTGTTTCCCTCAGGTACACTACAATTTAATCTTTTTTATCTGAGATAAATTTCTGTTCTGCTATTTTTTCCTGAGTTAACATGCCTATATTTTATATTTACTTGTTTTTCTATTCCTATTATGAGTCTTCAATTTCTGATTTTTAAGGTTCTTTCCTATTTGAAATTACTTAATATTGGCAAGTTGTATTTTCCTCTACTTTGTGTTTGGGGAAAGAGTATTTGTATTAATTGAAAAAGTATTAACTCATGCTTAATGCTTTTTTTCTTACATTAACATTGTAGGATTTTGAGTAACTTATTTTGTTCATTAATCAAATAAAGATAAAAGTTGATTTCATTATGGGAAGAAATGGAAGGGTTACTCTATTTCTTAGTTCAAAAACTTTTTCTTCTGTTAGCATAGTATGTTCACATTTTTTAAAGAAAATAGCATCATCGCAGGTATTATCTTTAGATTCTGTGATATTGCATTCCCTCTTTCCAGGACATCTGATATCAGTTGCTGGTTTTCTTACTTGCCTTCACCACCAAGCATGCGATGTATTCCTTCCTTTCCTCTGAGTTGCCTGCTACAAGATGCCTCCTGTGTTCCTGCACACATTCTAAGTCCCTTCTTTTCTAGTTCAACAGTCAGTTTTTAGATCCCACAGGTCTCAGACCTCTTCTCCATCTTTCTCCAATCAGGGCAAAAGCCTCTGCTTCTGGAAGTATGCCTACTTGCGTTTCTGTTCTTTACAGCTAGAACATCACCATCTCTTCTCTCCCATCAATCTCCTCCTGCTCTTTTATGGAAATACATAAAAGAAAATGGGAAAACAAAAAGTTGGGCAGGAGGCAATGATTTGAATTTTTTTCATGCTGTGCTTGGAGTGACTGTGGAACATATAGCTGGAACTGTCCATTTTCATATGTATAAAAAATACAGTTCTAGAAGTGTCAAAAAAAAGATATGTGGAGGAGCAATATTTAAGATTATGGCCAAGACCATTAAGCCTGACAAAAACGGCCAAGAGGAGAATGTTAGGAAACTACATAAAGAGAGATTTACAAATAACAAACAGCTATTGTTCAAAATCAAAATGTAAAATATCCTAATTAGAATAACTCAATAAGAGCATAGCAAAAACATAAAACCTGCAATCAGTAAACAAAACAATTTGAGAAATTTATGGAAGATCTAGAATTCATAAGACTCAGCTAAGAGAAACCAGCTTTTGGACACACACACAAATAGATAGATCAGGAAGTTTTATGCTCAGAGTTGAAGGGCTGCAATTTGACAAGGACAGTAGAGTGACTGATTTGGCCAGGAAATTAATCATAGTCAAACTTAAATGACTATTCACGTTTTATTTTTAAACAAAGAGGATCCAGTGTGTTCAGGAGTGATGTCAGAGGAATGGTGGCATGAGAGATCGCCTTGGCCTCTCCCCTTGAAATTTCAACTATTTAAACAGCTATGACTCAACAAAGGGTTCCGTACTCAACATACAGGCAAGCTTAAGAGATCACACATGGAAGCATCTAAAGATGGGTAATCAGGAACAAACACGGAATATGAGAAGTGAGGAGGGCTCAGATGAGCCATGGACACAGCCCTGCAGCTAGAATCACAACAGGGCTCAGCATGGAGAGGGGAGAAATCTGGTTGTGGCTGGCACTTCCTTCAGCCAGGAGGAGCAGAGATACTGGAGTGAGCAGCATGAGCAGAGGCTCAGCTCAGAGACCTGGGCAAGAATACAGCACTGAGGTGTTGGAGCAGCCATCAGCCATTGGCATTACAGAGAGAGAAACAGCCACAGAGCCCTACCACCCCTTAGACTCCCAGAATTTGCTTCCATTTGTCCTTGGTGTCAGGTTGTGGAACACATTATCTGCATACGCAAGAATTGGTACCATAGAACCACTATTTCCCCTGAGTAAAAGGTGTATTCTGTGACTGGTCACTGGTAGGAGCACAGGAAGTACCCCATGAAGATCCAAGGTTGCCATTACTGGGAAGGAAAAACAAAGACAGTGTCTGGGTTCCTCTAGCAAACCCCACCTCCATATATCACAGCCATACTGATAGCAGCCAGAGATGAAACAGCCAGAGCTAAACAACTTGTGATTCAGCACCACCTATTGGAAAATAATAGAAAGTCCTCTTCTTTGTAATCTGCTAGAGAAATGCCACTCATACATAGGTGCCTAGACAGAGAAGGAGCCAATCAAATACCATGAATAAGCAAGGTAGTGAGGCAGATCAGAAAAAACAAAAACAAAAAACTCCTGAAAACTAACTTAAACACATGAAGATATGTGATATAAATGACAGAGAATTCTAAGTGTATTACATTGCCTATCTGTATGCAAAAATAAATAAACAAATAAATAAATACAGGCAATGTAATGCACTC